ATAATATCCAAAAATAGCATAATTAAAATAAATAAAATAATTACAATAAATAAGTGTATGGTAAGTCATGTTTGTGTCGGTACTGGGTAGATTAAGACATAATATTTTATACCTGTATTAAATTATATTTTGCAGAAAGCACTGAACAGGACCTTATATCATTGTGTGTAACTAATCTGTATTGTTCAAATTTAACAATACAGATCAGTTACACACAATAATAATTGAACAATACAGATCAGTTACACACAATAATAAAAGATCATATCCCAATAAAAAGCAAAAGGATTAAGCTAAAGAACGCCTCTTTTCTCTATATGCCAGTATACGTTATAATACACAAATGGAGGTGTATTTCACTGAATAAAAGAGGCACCTGTGAGATCAGATGGCAAAAGCTTTCCTACAGCTATAAAAGAAATGCATCTGTCAGAGTAAGTCAGTCAGTCGATCATCTTGCTGCTCCTAGCTTGATGATATAATGCATTTCTTGGCTATATCTGTACTCCTGGCAACTGCTTTCAGTGCAGTTACATCCAATGAAGGTAGGTACAATAAATATCATTAAATTTTTTATGATGGTGTATATTCTGCTGTAGAAGCACATTCACTGGTTAATGAAGAGAAAGTTAATGACACTCTTGTCAGATTAGTTTATCTTCAGATTTTGCGTGGTAGAGATGGCCGTGATGGAGTATCAGGAAGAGATGGAGTGAAAGGAGAAAGAGGAGATAAGGGAGAGAAAGGTGAAACTGGACCTGTTGGACCAGCTGGTCCTAAGTGTGGAGGAGTAGTGTACACTCGTTGGGGAAGGAAGTCCTGTCCTACTGGAGCTGAACTACTGTATGAGGGAATAACTGGTGGTGAAGCAAATAACAGTCCTGGAGGTGGTGCCAACTATGTCTGCTTGCATAAGGATCCCCAATACTTAAGTTCTCATTCTCCAGCTTATAGTGGTTTTATGTACGGTACTGAATATGAATGGTCTAATGGTATATTTACTGGTAGAGATCAGCACAATGCTCCTTGTGCAGTATGTTATACATCTACTAAGAGTGTTAAACTGATGATTCCTGCTAGAACCAGCTGTCCTTCATCATGGACTATGGAATACAGAGGATACCTGATGGCTGAAAGAGATGCTCACAAAAGAAATGCAGTCTATGAGTGTGTTGATGAAAACGTTGAATCTGTTGATGGTAGTGGCGCCAGTGCTCAAGGTGCTATGCTTTTCTTTACTTTGTCAACTTGTGTTAGT